GTTGGGAATTGAGATAGATACTATATTTTGAAATTAAGGAAAAATAAATATTTTGAAAGTTAAAATGTTGAGAATTGAGATAGAGACTAAACATATAGTTGGGATATTAGATTATTTGAAATAAATATATAAACTTATTTTTCGAATGCATGAACTAAAAGGCTAATTGAGGATTATTTATTTTATACACTTTGACAAAAATAATATGGATAAGCTTAATTTACGAGTTTGATTAATGATTATGAGAGCTCTATTTGCAAGGGTATGAATATTTGTGATAATGTTTCCGTACATCGACCATTCTTCACATCCGTCGCAGATTGCTGCAATAAACACGGCGGAGTCTCCTTCAAGAACGATTTTGTTCCATGATCTTCCTTGCGCAAATTCCACCGCTAAGAGTACTGATGTTGCTTCAGCTGAGGTGGGGTCCAAAGGTTGATTTATACAAATCGATTTCCAGCCCACACACTCACCCAAATGGGTTCGAGCCACAATTCCTACACCAACACATTCGTCCTTTGAGTTGATAGCCACATCAAAATTGATCTTAATCACATTCATGGTCGGCGGAGTCCAATGAAGCTTTGGTATTCCTGTACAAAGCTGATTCATGAGGACTCGAGCAGCCGGGTGACGCAACTGATCTTCAAATCTTCCACCAAAAGAGATGACCTCCATAACTTCTTTGAACTCACCCTCGAAAACAAAACGATTCCGCGCAAACCAAATAGCCCAACAAATAAGCACACATTTCTCAAAACTCACCACATCGGTCGACCTTTTCATACTCAGCAACCACTCTCTCATATTATTCCCCTTCCACTGATGCACAGTCCAGCTACGAACAGAAAAACGGCCATTTCAGTTATAATGCCAAACCTGGATGTCTTTGTTGATTGAACTCCCAAGAGAATTGCAAGAATATAACTCTGATCATCCTCCATAAACATTTCTCGGATCCTCATTTCGTTCCATTGGTTTAATTCACCCAAAATAAAAAAATAAAAAAATAAAAATTACTTTTTTGTAAATATACAAATCCCCTAATTTCTCCCCATCTCACTAGGGGTGAGTTCGGGACGGGATTTCGGGAATTCGGGATTTTCGGGATCGGGATTTCGGGATTCGGGATAGAAATATTAAATCCCAATCCCGTCCCAAACTATTAAATTCCGGTTATATCCGTATCCCTAAATATTTCGGGAATCGGGATTGGGATCGGGAAATCCCATATTTTGCCTAAAACTAAGAAATATTGCATCTTTTCTCCATTAGTATTATTTAATACACTAAACCAACTTGAATATATTATATACATACTATTGTTCTTGTCTTATTTATTTTTACCACAAAACTTGGAACAAATAAAATTTTAAAAATTTTAAAATAAGTTGAAACAATATATTTTATATTGTATTTCTCATCTTCTTGACACTATATATATATATATATATATATATATATATATATATATATATATATATATATATATATATATATATATATATATATATATATATATATATATATATATATATATATATATATATATATATATATATATATATATATGTGTGTGTGTGTGTGTGTTTATTAGTTTTTTTTTCTTTTTTTCCTAATTCGGGATTAAAATATCCCGATCGGGATTGAACCAATTCCCTAATATCGATCCCGTATTTGCTCCTAATCCCAATCCCGAATCCCGTAATCCCGAATTCCCGAAGTTTTAGTCCCAAATAGTAAAATTCCGTTCGGGACGGGACGGGATCCCGAATCCCGATCCCAAATGCCCAGCCCTACATCTCACGCAGTTTCTGTTTTTCCTTTTCTTTTTGATTTTGTAATGGTTTTCTTTATTTCGATTAAACCAAAAACTAATTATTTTTTAATTTTTTATTTTGTTTTATTTTTTTCGGTTTTTTATTTTTAATTATTTTTTTATTATTTATATTTTTCCTGTTCTTCATTATGATTTTTTTTAAAAAGGGTCTTAATTTAATTTCCGTTTTTTTAATGGTTTTTTTTCTTAATTTCGATTTTTTTAAATGGTCTTTTTGATTTTCTTTTCCATTTTTTTAATAAAAAAATGTTTTGTTAAATAGTTTTTTTATTATTTTTTTATATTTCGATTATTTCTGTTTTCTATTATTTAAAAAAAATCCAGCAGGTTTATCAAAGTGGAATTGACTATACACGGTCTTCGACTAATTTGTAGTGGATTTCGATAAATTTATAGTGGATTTCGATAAATTTGTAGTGGATTTCGATAAATTTATAGTGGATTTCGATAAATTTATAGTGGATTTCAACAAATTTATAGTGAATTTCGATAAATTTATACAGGATTTCAAAAAAATTATAGTGAATTTCGATAAGTTTATAGTGAATTTCAACAAATTTAAAGTGGGTTTTGATAAGTTTATAGTGGATTCCGACAAGTGTGTAGTGGATTTTACTTTGATAAATTTGTTGGATTCTTTTTAAATATTAAAAAAAAATATTAATTGAAAATAATAATTAATAAAAAAAATAATTAAACAAAACATTTTTTATTCAAAAAAACTAGAAAAATATCAAAAAAAAACCATTAAAAAACGGAAATGAAAATAAACAATTTTTTGTAAATCAAAATGAAAAACATGAAAAATATAAATAAGAAAAAAATAATTTAAAATAAAAAACCAAAAATAGAAAGGAAACAACATTAAAAAATAAAAAAATAACCAATTTTTGTTTTAAAGAAAACTATTAGAAAAAGAAAAAAAGAAAAGTAAAATGACGTGAGATGGGGAGAAATTAGAGGGATGTACATATTTACAACAAAGATAATTAATTTTCTATAATAATATAACATGGTAACTTTCAACAATATTAAATAGAGACTATTAGTGAAAACCCCCTCTATCATTTTTTTTAATAATGATGGATCTAATCACTTTTTCTTTATTAGTGATAAACCCAATTATTATTTATTATCAAATTTACCCTTCCCTATTATTTGCTGCACATACCTTTTTTTATTTCTTTTCTATTTTCCATTTTAATTTTCGTTTTGTTTATTTAAAAAAAATAGTTTTTTAAATAATTTTTATAAATATTTTTTAATAACTAAAAAATAATATTATATTCAACATTTTTTTAGTTTCGTTTCTTCAAAATCAACTATAATATTTTCGAAATCGACTAATTTTTTTTCTGAAAATCAACTAAAAGATTCGGTTTTTTTTTTCATATCATTTATTTTGAATCCAAAACGAATTTTTTTCCGAACTAATTTACCAAATTGACAAATTACTACATATTATTGAAATAACTATAAAAAATCAAAATCAACTAAAAATGTCGAAAACAACTAAAAATACATCAACTAATTTTTTAATTCATATTTTATGATTTTTATTTTTCCAGCAAGTCATATAATTGGATAAAAAAATAAAAAATCAAAATCAACTACCAAAAACTTGAAAATCAGCCAAAAAAGTCGAAAACAACTAAAACTATCAAAAACAACTAAAAGAAATAGCAGGATAACGAAAACAACTATAAGAAATAGCCGAATAACAAAACAACTATTTTGCTGTAAAAATACCTAACATCGAAAGCATCACAAAAACAATCAAAAAAATTCAGAACGATGGCGACGACAGAGCAGAGGCAGAGGCGAGGGCGGCAAAGTCTCTATATCCGGCGGTGGAGTTGAGGGGTGGAGGTAGGGAGGGATTTTTGAGTTTTTGATGTCGTCTTCTACAATTAAATCGAAATCGGAGCGATGGCGGCGGCGGCGGGACGAGAACTTCAGATCTGGCGGCTTGGACATCAATGTTGAGGGAGTGGAGAGCATATACGAGCGCGTCCTTGAGGTTGTTCCTAAAGTCATCGGCTCATGCTATGCTTTTCAATGGTGGATGGTGGATGCTACGATGGAGTGGTTCTTGCCTGCACCATGGATTTATTCAGGAGAGAGAAAAGAGAGGGAATGGGGTATGGAGAGAATGACAGAAATCAGAGAAAAGAAGATGGAGGCGGTTGAATGGCATAATAAAATTAGGGCAGATGTGAAATAATATAGCATTAAGGGCAAATTAGATATTATTCATAGCAGTTTTAAAAAGAATAATTAAATTTAATAATTAAGGGGGGTTTGACTAATATTGAAAAATGAGTTATATCCACCCTAATATATGTAAATCATGTGGGGGATTTTCACTAATTATCCCTATTAAATAAGAGTATTTTGGATAATTAGAGTCAATTGGGTTTATAAGAAATATCTATTAAAAAATAGATTTATCATGAAGCTAAAGTTCAACGAAGGGTGTTTGTCAAATAACCCGTAAAAAAATGCATATATGTCTATTCATAAATGGGTATTCATGTCATTTCACTTTTAAAAATTAAAAAAAGAAAATCGCAGAAACCGCGAGCAAGTTACATGATGATGATCTTCCAGAGAATCTCTTCTTTTATTTCTTTTTTTTTTTGCTTTAATTTTATTTTGGAGGGGGAGCGGGGCGGCTGGCTACTTAAAATAACATATAAACTTTTTGTCAAGGAAATGCAATGAACTCATAAGAGCAGACATGTTAGTTCTTAGTGGCCCAATACAGCTCAATTCAATACATGAAAACTGTAGTCTTGCTGGTTGCTACTGGAGAGAGAGATTTTACTACTTGCAATCACAAGCAACTATCACTGCCAAGTGTTTTTTTTGTGGTCCACGAAACGAAGATGCAGCCATTATGGATTAACATCCACCGTTCACACTGCTAGCTTCAGTCAACATGCACGAGCATTCTCATGCAAATCTAACAACGTTCAATCAGGATATAATTATATGCAGCAACAAGAATTTCAATACTTCTTGTAGTTATATATATGACATATACACCAACGTATCTATATAGATAAAAACACATGGATTTCGAAAAGAAAAATGCTGTTGTATCCATAGGAATGATTGTAACAGAAAGACATAAGTGACTTACAATCACAATGACTAAAGCATCCACTATGTTCGTGCAATTACAGTTATGTGGATTTTTATAGAAACTCATCTAGACTTGAAAAAATCCAGTTTATACAATCAATCTGAATCATTCTCTGCATGACAAATTAAAATCAAAATTTTCGTCACACGAGATAATGAAGACGCTTCAGTTTACTTGATCAGGTGTTTAATGTTTGTTAGGGACAGGGATTGGGAAATGCAGAATGAACCTCATCGATTTCTGCAACTATTTCTGGAGATAGGTGGACCTTGCAACCATTGAGTACCTCTTCGAGCTGCCATAGTTTCGTTGCTCCAAAAACAGCACTCGCCACAAGAGGGTGCCTCAAAACAAAAGCTGCCCAAATACTTTGAAAAAATTAGTGCGGGATTATAGAGAAACAAGGATATGCATATCATTTGACAACCCTACAACAAAATTGTCGGCAAGAAAATATCGGCATGCTGTGCAGTAATATACGCCAAGACGAATGTTCCATCCAGCACAATGAATCAGTACATGATAATAAAATACGTACAATAGCTAATTTTCTGCTAATTGGCAACCTTATTCAGAACATCATTACAATTCAACATATTGGAACAGCATGTTAACTCCGATTGTACATAGAACATAAAATTACGGCCAAGAGCACTGTGCCGATATATCAGACATCCCAAACTCAAGCTTATTACCGCAGAATCTTTCAGTTGTTAGCACATCTAATAAAAAGTAACTTAAAAGTGATAGTTAAAGAAAAATACAAGTTTGGAATGCAAACTAATTCGTACTTTATTCTACAAAATGCATATACAAGAATAAAAACATACTCATCAATATAGGCCCGTTTGTTCGGAAGGATGCGATTATATGTGATAGGGTTGCATTGCATGTGTGCATATGCTTGTATACATTTAGTAGCACACTAGCATGTCTCGGAAATTGTTATTATTTTCTTTTCTTTTTTTCACATTTCTAGATGCACTCTATGAATGCAATTAAATATCATTCCATTTATAAGAAGCATCAATACAGTCGATACCACATCAAACCCCCTTGGACTGATTCCTTACCAAACAAATTGATGACTATATAACAGGGCCAACAGTAAATCATCGGTCTCTATAAATTAATCAAAGAGCAATCAAACATATAATACAACGACTCTCAATGTCCTTAAAAGATCTGAATTACATCTAGTTTAGAGGGAGGGATGGTGTAATTCACACAGCAAAATAAAAGAAATATTTTCGTAAGGGTAAAAATTTATCACCAAGGAAGATAGGTATGATTACACAAACTCGAGGAGGTCTAATCAAAGTGTTATTAAACCTAAATTCAGGGGACGCAGGTGCGCTGTGCGATTTATCCATCGTTCAAACAGTGTGATAGATAGAAAAAAATACCATATCCCAAAAGTGCAAGTGACAGACAAGTTTCCATCTCTAGAGAGTAAAAAAAAAATTGGGGGAAAATGACCAGGCAAGTATTTTCAGCCTTCTATTCCTCAATGACTGAAATGGTTCCCCAAATTTAAGAATCAAAATGTTTTCTTTTTCCTCCCTTAATTAATTGGCCTCACACGCAGTCTAGGACTCGTCCAGTAGCAGAGCCAGGATTTCCAATTAGGGTGGGGTCGGCATACGGGGGTTTGGGGGCAGCGCCCCCGATTTTTTTAAAAAGGATTTTTAGCAGAAAAGAACATAAAATAAATATATATTTATAACATTTAACTAAAATAGCCTAAATTGAATTCTTTAAAGTTATATCCAAAATATGATTATTTATACTACTTGCAAATTACTCACAATTTACCATGTAAACTATAATTGTCCCTTTCACATTCTCATTTTGTGAAAATTCTATATGATTGAGTGGATTAAATGATATAAATTGGGCTATCAAACTAAAAAATACACACACATATATATACACACACACACACAGTGTAAAAACTAAAAAGTAAATCGAGAATGAGCTGGAGTCCACTCAGGGGTAAAAGGTGACTCCTCCCTCGGCCACGTCGAGTCAACCAATCAGAATTCACCAATCCCCACTAATAGTTTCTATATAAACCCCATCCTCACAATCAGCCGTTTCATCTCTAAAAATCAATGCACTCACATTTATTGAATTTTTGAAACCCTAAACACAAATCGAAAAATGAGTTCCAACACCGCAGCCTCAACCAAGACCAACACAAACAATGGTAGAGGCAAGAAGTCAAAGGTTTCTCGCTCTGCAAAGGCTGGCCTTGAATTCCCTGTTGGGAGAATTTGCCGGTTACTCAAGGCCGGAAGATATGCTAGCCGTATCGGTGCTGGAGCCCCTGCTTACCTAGCAGCGGTTCTCGAGTACCTCGCAGCCGAGGTATTCTTTTCTATTTACAATTACTGTTTTTCCAAATTTGGTCCAGTTCATAAATTTTTGCTCTAATTTTGTGATTTGGTTTTTTTTTTTTAGTAAGTTCCTGATTTCTTGGTTTAGGTTTTAGAGGTTGCAGGGAATGAAGTAAAGGAGACGAACAAGACTCGAATTACACCGAAGGCCATAACGGCTGCAGTGACAAAGGATGAGGAATTGAACAAGCTCTTCAAGGGTGTCACGATTGCTGGTGGGGGGGTTATGCCTAACCGTCATCGAAATCTGTTGCCAGAAAGCAGCGCAAAAAAGGAGAAAGAGATTGGCTCTGGGTCACAGTGAATCTAGGATTTTATTTTATTTTATCGGGTTGAATAATCTGTTGCGCTTACCTAAATAAGTATTGAACCAGTTGAAACTTGGGCATTCCATTGCCTTGTTTACCGTGATGTTCATGTAACTGTTTTTCTTATCTATCTAAATTATTGCTATAAATCAAATTAAGAAGTAACTCAGTCGGTTGCAAATTAAATCTCAATGATCTCCAGAATTGGTAAAGGTCAATTCTCCATCGAGGAAAAAGGGGAAAACGCAAGTTTCACTAAGGAACACAATAAATGACTACAATGATAATTGATGCCCAGATATTTAAAGTGGATGTCATACAATAGAAATACTCATACAAGTACCATATAACATGCATGATAACTCCTTGTCACAATGTAAATAAGCTAAACAACTTGCTTACCGATTGCGAGGGATACAGGATGAACACCATGTTTTTCTGCGATGGAGACGTATAACTGCAACACATAATTAGAAGTACCAATTAGCGAATATGTATTAAACTCTTGTCACATGCAGTTCAGCAGCACATCCAAGAATGAGGATTAGTATATTGCTCCTGTATAGAATCATGCAGTATCTCTAATATTTCATTTGGACTTTTTCCAGAACAATAGCAACATGGTTATATTATTACAGAAAAATACAACAGAAGTGCCATTGAAGAAAACTTTACCAATGTGGCACTAATGTTCATCTATGAAGTAAGATGACCAAAATCTGAGTGTGTGTGAATTCCAAGTGGCATTTTTACACGGTCGATAAAAGGGAACCATTTACAGTTACTAATTATAATGTTTTTTTGGCATCCAGCTTAATTGCCGGATGCACTCTGCAGTACAATCAAGTAAAATGTTGAAAAGAATAATTAGATTATTCTTACTTCAGTGGCTTTTCTAATGATACCATTTGATAGGTTGTATCTTGACTCCCCTTCAGCATACCTCCCTGAAAGACAAACAACCAAACAGTCTCGTGAATTTTCAAGTGGCGGTTGTTATTTCCAAGAAAAAAGATGGATAAAAGACCTTTGAAGAGATTCAACCGAGCATCATCTGGACCTCTACCAACTGACAGATACTTCCCAGTAAGGATGCCCATCGCCAAAGGGCTGTAAGCCAATAAGCTAACACTGGACAAAAATCAAAAAAACGTCACCATTGATGGCTAAACTACTGATCAATTATTTTAAAATTATAAAATTAAAAATAACAGAGATTACTTCACCTTTAACTAAAAAAAAAAAGGAAAAAAAGATAAGCCTCGTAAGTTGAGGAATAAGAATATGGCTATGCGGGGTTGGCAAAGCAAATAATTACACACACTCCAACTAAGAAATTTAAAATTCACTAGAAGTCATTTGATTCAACAGGACTAAATTTGTCCTCTTATAGTTACTTTTTGAAACAAAGTGTAAGGAGGAGGGGATAGTCGAACACAAAAAGAATTCAATGAAGTTAAAATAATTGAACGAGGGGGGTAGAAATGTCATGAAAAAGATAAGAGGGCTCTATGGAGAGTCGGTGATAAATTCCGAGTCCGGCCACAATGACCGAATCAATTATTTTCATGTGTAAAGATAATCAGATCCAAGACCAGCAAGAAGTAAAACATCAAGGGAGTATGTCTCACACACAAGTCCAAGAAACATATACAACCTAAAAAGTATTGGTGACAAAGTAAGCATCATACTCGTATAACCGTATACAAAAGGCGCAAAGTAGTTGACTCCAATAAGGACTGACAAACTAAGGGACTGCATGGACTCTGATTCAGATTTTATAATACATGTTTACATTATAATTAGTCAAATGGTATATAGTAAGAATATAAAAATCTAAGATTATATGTACATCTATTTCTATATTCTGTACTTCTAAATGGCTCAAGAATTTTCTTTGGATTATGGACTAAATTTCAAAATATGAAAGGATAGTTCTTAATGGCGTTTAAGTAAATTGAAGTTCCACTTAACTCCGACAGAATTTCCTACCTAATCAATCCATAGTTATTTCTATATCCAAGTCCTTTAAAAATCTTATCTTTACAAAATATTGGTTAACTAAATCTTTTTTCTTTCTGAAATTTTGGTTAACGTGATCTCGACCCTTGGCCTGTTTCTGTTACTATACATTAATACATCATATAGCTCAACCTACAGAGAAATATACATATATATGTGTGTATATATATATACTCACACCACTCTGTAGTTGTCTATGTCTATAATATTCTGAAAGTATGAATAACTCAAAAAGTTTCTCAGAACTTTTGTAATACTTTATCCTAGTTAATAAGTACCACGTTGTCACAAAAGAGGAATATTTGGACTTCATCAGTTTTTGTTTTTAATAGTGAAGTTGACATATAAAACGACGCGTCCTTTTCTCTTCTTTAAAGTTTAAAGTGATTTCTTTGCCTTTTTGTCGTGGCTCTTTGAGTACCTTAATTTCAAATGCAATGAGTTATACATGAAACTAGATCTTGAGAGGTCTCCAGTCATATTTTATAGGCATATAGAGGATTTGTAACAGAGAATTATATTCCATATCTCCACCGACTACCATATTCATATCATAATTCTAGATGAAAAGGAAACAGAGATGATTTGACAGCAAAAAAACAAAAAATGACATGTTTAAAATGAAAAATAAGATGTTATTAAAACTATAACAAAATTGGTACTCGAGTTTATCTACAACTCTCAAAGTGATACATGAGTTTTTACAATGTTGGTACATAATGAAATGATCCAATTTAATTCTGTCCGAATTTTCTTACAGTGATGGATAAAACCCTTTAAATCATAACTAATTACAACGCTCCATTTGAAACTTAAATCAGATATTCATCTCAATTAGTAAACAAACCTTAAAATTATGCTCAGTTGCCAAAAACAATGTTAAGAAAATATGGAGCTACACAATTAGGGCATCTAAATCTACATTAAAAACCTAACGAATTTAATTTTACTAAACAAAAAATTATATAAAAATTGGAACCATATCAGATAAGGGCATAGTTATATCGATACACTGCATGTATGTTGAAAAGCTAATTTAAGGTCATTGAGTATGTAACATTTACAACCAAAACTAAACGGCAGTCATAAGTTTGTGGAAAATCAGGTACAATATGACATTCATAAAAGAAATCATGTACCGAAATGATTCACTCTTAAAAATTAAGATTCCTAGTTAGTTATGCATCATACATTGAAGTGTTAGAATAACAACATTCACGGGATTATCAAGAAAATGAAAAGGTTATAAGGAAATTTATAGATTCTCAATATTATTATATTTTCTAATTATTTATTTGTTGGGGAGGAGTGAGTGAGACAGAAGGAAATGAGCAACAGATATAATTAAGCACATACAAAATTATCCTTCAAATATTTTCAAGTAGACAAATAATCTCATGATATGTTTAACAAATAATTTAGTTACATGAAGGTCTCTCATTAGATGTGATCTTTATCGTTTGTGTTCAACTTTCTCTTGATTAACTAATGATGTTACACCATTACATATAGTTGAAAAATACTTCTGTTTCAATTACACGTCGCTTTGGAGAAATTTGGTCTATATTATTCTAGTGATTTTAGAATTCTCTCAAACATTAATCTTCATAACCAAAGAAAACAATTAGTGGAGAGAGTTGGTGGAAAGGATATGTTAGTCAAATTATATGGGTTTTCCTAAAATCATTTATATTTATTAGCTTTACTGAGACATGTTAGCTTTATTAATAAATGTCTCAGGCCTTAAACAACAGAGACCAAGAACTAAACTACACTTGATTTGAAAAGTTTATTTGAAACAGAGAGAATAGCAGCTACCAATTATTGGCATGTGAGGTAGTGCGTAAGATAATTGAAGTACGACGTACATAGTGATATATATTTGAGAAGTGTATTAGACTAAATGTACGATAAATTTTCTAATAGTTCAAGTGTCTTAGACTAAATGTAGGTTAAATTTTCTAATAGTTCAAGTGTCATAGACTAAATGTATAGTAAATTTTCTAACAGTTCTTCAGCCTCGTTCTGTGACATGTATCGTATTAGATAGGATTAGATTGGATTGAAATAATTTTATATTGGCTAATTATTTCTTTAGTTACTAACATGTATGGTTCCTTGTACAGATCTACGACTAAAATTGTTAAAACCTTATTACATGTGATTTTTCTATAACATTCCTAATTTAACAATAATCATATCATAATTTGTAGTGTTGTAGAAATATAATCATCTTTCTCCTTTTTGGTCACTACCTACAAAATTAATTGTAGGGGCATGTTAGCTACTAATTTATTGGATAGTAGCATTTAGTTGCAGGCTTCACTAGTTATTGCCTGAGTTAGATTAAATTTTGCCACCCGAACATGTTATTTAACTCCTACTATTTAGTCAATAGTTGAATTTAATAGCAGCAACCGAATAAGGCCAAAGTGTATTAGACTAAACGTATAGTGGATTTTGTAAGATCTTTCTTCACTATACGTTTAACCTTTACACCGTCAGTCTAAGCGATCTACATTATTCACATGATATGTTCATTTTTCTTTTCTGTGACCAACTTCACGGGCTACTTATTTCTTAATAAGCATAATTTTTGGAAGGTCATTTTTTTACTTATATCTTTTGTAAATAAATCATCAATATCTTAAGGATATTTATCTGGAGTAAATGAAAGCTTTCAGTTACTCTTCAACACATGAAGGATGTTTATTTGGAACAAATGAAAATATATTCGAATTTCAAACTAAAGTATGATAGCAATCATCAAGTTAGAAAGTCAAGTAATATTTTTTATTCTAATTTTCACTTTAAAATTGATTTATTGTATATTATATTGTTTTAGGTGCAACACAAATACACAGTTACTTTTTACTAGAACATAGTAAGTCAAACAACATTAAAAAATGAAGACTATTGCCAACTCTAAGGCCTATTTTAGTTAAGTTCAACATGATTCAGTAGTATTTGCACTTTGCATGCTTGTAATGCATAATAAAGCACATGCTATGTTAAATCAGCAAAACAAAAATCAGAATTGATACCTCTCATGATGACAACACTCGGCCATCCCGGAATCAAAATTTCGGCAAAGAAGGTTGTAACAATTCTGAAAACAAAGAAATAGATGTACATTTTATTATCATTAAACTATACAAAGAGATAGAGAGAGAGTGGAAAAGAAGCCTCACTATTTTTAAAACAAAGTCCGACCATACAACACCTGCACAGAGATTGTTCTAGCATTGCCAAAGTCACCTTCAGCAACGTGTAGGAACTTCATCAGACCATATGGTGTTTCGTTACTTAGGCCGATGTATCTTATCTGTAGAGAATATTTTACCAATTAACAAGAAGGATCAAATTTGGTACACATCAATGTAAACTTACCTTGCAGGACCACAGACCTTTCCAGCACCAATAGCTCTGTCTAGAGCAGCAAGTTGTTCCTCAAAACTGACGGAAGAATATATCCTGCTCTGATCATACTCTGTTTCTCCAAACATAGGGACATAGCTGCAAAAGAATCCTTGCCAATATGTAAAGTGATCCAATACTTAGTTTTATTTTGATATATTTTGGTTGTTACTGAGTGGAGGTTTACAAGAAAGAGATGATATACATACCGGTCAGGCCAATGAACTTGATACAGGTCGATGTAGTCACTTTGTAGGCGCCGTAAACTGAAAAAAGAACTTCTCCTGTTAGTTTTCGTAACAAGATAATCGAGTAGAAAACCGCAACCAATGGTCCAGTTACGTCAGTCAGAGTCAAATAACAATGGACATATTATCAGTTGCAGGAACAAAGAGATAAAGGAACTTTAAATATAACGAATGGCAATATTCAGCTCGACCTATTGTCAATTGCCTCAGCTATATTCCTGGAATCAAGACTTTCTGGTCCGTTCCGTATCCAAGTCATTTGCCCCGATGGTCCGCTGACCTATATCCAACAAATTAAATACCGTTTTCAGCAGAAATCAGTGATAGATCATGAAATAATACCCTATAACAAAGAACTATTCATCCAAGAACCATATTCAATGACTCTGTTTGATTGGATTTACCAATTAGGATACAATGAAAGCTGTATTTCCAATTCTCATAGCAATAAGACAAGAGAATTTTAACGTAAGGATGGCAGAATGAGTCAACACAGTTTTTTGAACCTGCAGCTTTCAGAAGCAAGAGTAAAACTTGAGCCCAGTATACCACAGTGATCTTTTAGGGCATTGTTTTGAGTTCAATTCTAAAATATTTCAGACCAAAACCACCTAAACTAATCACAGGGTCAATCTTTATCTTGGATAGAGAAGGCTTCGTCGGTAATCAAGCTACAATCATCGCACTTACAAAAACTAAGTCAATCCCAATTCATGATCCATTTGCAGATTAAAGTAAACTCAACTTCAAATAAGGGTTAGCCAACAATTTCTGGACAAATAGTTTCTAGAAAAACAGATTACTAAAATTAAGTTTGAAACTGCTTTTACTTGATGCAGATAAATAATAGCATGACAGCGAAAAGAATTCTAAAGTGTAACACCCTCCATCAAATTCGGTTGAAATCAACATGTGAAACTTAATTATGTAAAATGTCCCCTAAAAAGTATACTAGAGTATAAATTAATACAAAGAAGTTGGTGAAACCTTTGTAGCGAGTACAACGCGATCGCGTGGGATATTGCGGGATCGAATCCAACGTCCAAGATACTCCTCACTCCTCCCCTGAGTTTGTGAACGCTGTGGAACAGGATACCTACACCAAAAACCCAAAAGCAAATGGAAAAATAAATAAATAGATATATCTAGAGAGAGAGAGAGAATAGAAGCAGAAAGGTTGGTTGAAAGAAGGGTTACATTTCGGCAGAGTCGAAGAAATTGATTCCTGAGTCGAAGGCTTTGTCGAGGAGCTCGAACGACTGAGGCAAGGAGTTCTGCTCGCCGAAAGTCATGGTGCCTGATTCAATTATTCACACATCATCAACAATAAACAACAGGAAATCAATTAATTTTAGAGAGAGAGAGAGAGGAGAGAGAGAATATGAAGATCGAAAACCTAAGCAGAGTCGTGAGACGGTGATGTCAGGTGCGAGATTGAAAAGGGGCACCGCCATGGTAATGCTACACCACCACAATAACGACGACGGTGGTTCTGCGATAAGTACGCCATCACCATGTGCGGGGAGGATAAAGTCGTTGTTGTATCGTATCAGCGATTTTGTTTCTCGCCCAAACTATTTCCCTATGCGGATTTAACCAACAACTCAATTATCGGGAGCTATTAGTACAAACCACCCACTAATTGCTCTCTAATTGCTGTAAAAGCCCTCGTGTTAAAAAAAAAAATAGCAACGACCTCCGTATGTTATGTTTTATTTAGCCCACCGCCTGCTTTCGTGGGATTTGGGGTTATGATTTAAATTGTAATGAAAAAAGCTACCCCTTACCGGAAATTTTCCATAATAATTCAATTAAAAAAAATACCATAAATGTTTATAGAAATAAA